TGTGCAGCATAGGTTTGAAATTGGATTTTTGTTCATCACAAAATGCCTTGTAATTCAAGTGACAAAACACCAACTTCATCTCTTCGATTCTCCCTACTCAAGAATGATCTCAAGGAGTTCTTGGACATTTTGGAAATCTTGCAATGTGCTATATAACCCATATTTGAATTTCTTTTGAATATTAACCTTGTAACTATGTGAAAAATTTCCATGAAGTTAGGTCAAAAAATCATCCTAACTAGGGGAAAATTTCACCAAGTCTTTTTTAGTTCATGAGCATGTATTCATAAAATTATAACTTGAGATCCAAGAACTTTTAGGAGAAGTTGTATGAAGAAAAGTTGTATATTTTATGGAGATCTACAACTTTCATGTTGGAAGTTTCTCTTGAATCATCTTGTATCATAATGAAAAAATGGCTCAAAGTTATGAAAAAAACATGAAATTTCCAACACTTAGAAAAATTTCTAAGTTTAGAAATTTTGACTTTTCAAAATGAAATCTTGAATTTTTGATTTCTTGATGAATAAGTTTCATATTTTGACATGTTTTGATGAATTATGATCTTTGGCACTTGAATTTGACCAAAAAAGTCAAAGTTTGACTTTTCAGTGTACATTTGACTTTTGATCAGTTGACTGCAAAATTCATCTGTCAATCCAATGGATTTGAAATGTTTTGAATCATTTCATTAGGTCAAAATGATGCAATTGGACTCTTAAGATCATGCCTTAAACCAATTTACCATTTGCTAGGTTAAAAATCAGAAATTGCCCTTTCCTAGTCAAAGCCCTAATTTAAACCATTTTGCCCTTTTGGAGATTTGATCAAATTTCTTGAGGAATTGTGATCCAAACTTGATCAAATGATACATATGAGTTTAAAATGTTGATGTGGATCAAAAATTGTGAAGTTTTACTGTAAATTGGTCATAGTTGACTTTTTTCCCAATACAACTGATTTTTAGTTCAACTGCTCAATTGACTGATCAAAAGTGTGATCCAAAGCTTAAAACTTGACATGAGTAATCTTGGAGGTCCATAATGGTCCATTAAATTCATATGAAGCATTGATAGTTCAAAAATCCTTGTGCAAACTCGAACCCTAATTTTGGTCATCAGTGTCTAAGGAGGTGTCTTGAGTTGATCAAACCCTAGTGCAGTCTTGAGCCCAAGGAGATCTTGTAAGAAAATTCTTGATAAGTGAGAGGGAAAATTTTGGGGTACAACAATGTAAAAAGATGAATGCAACATGTGTTTTATTTTAGAGATACCATCTTGATCGCAGCCAGTTACCATAATATCATTCACATAAACCCGGAGCACCACAATGCCTTTAGAAGTCCTTTGTAGAAAAAGTGATGGATCATATTGATTTTGAATGAATGAAAAACCTAGTAGAGTAGATCGAAAATTTTCAAACCATACTCTTGGTGTCTGTTTTAAACCATATAACGATCATTTTAGTTTACAAACAAAATATTTAAGAAAGTGGGTAATACCATTGAGAAGTTTGATGTAAATTTATTCCTTAAGATCTCCATGTAGGAATGCATATTTTATATCTATTTGATGTAGCGACCAAGATTTTGATGCAAGAAGGGCAAGAATAGTACAGATGCTAGTCATCTTGGCGACCCGGAGCAAAATTCTCCTCATAGTCTAACACATATTCTTTCTTATTTCCAAGTACTACTAGACGAGCCTTGTAACGATCAATTGATCCATCTGAACGCAACTTTATAGAAAACACAAATTTGTTGCCTAAAGGTTTAACAGTTGGAGGATAGTGTACTGTATCCCATGTCTGATTTTCTTCTAAGGCTAGAAGCTCATTTTCAATAATTGTTTGCCAACAACCATGTTCCATTTCCTGTTTATAAGAAGAAGGAATAAAAACACAAGATAATGTTGTTGTCAAGGATAAAGGAGTAGAGAAACCATTCTTTTTTGGGGGCTTATGTATGTGCGTTCTGTGTCGTACATGGTCTGGTTCTAGCTCTTGTATTTGATCAACAGTCAGGGCATTATCTTGAAGGGGCCCATTGGAGTCAGTTGGCTGATTTTGGGTGATACCACGTCGTCTTTGATAGGTCAATAGGAGCTTAGAGGGTGGCTGACATGTAGGAGAGTTAGAAAACAATGGGAAAATAGAAAATGTAGAAGAAGGAAGGTCATAATGTGTTGCAAAAAACATTTATTTTCAAGGAAAATGGCATTTCTAGAGACCCGAATTTGACGAAGATTAATATCATATCTTAGAAATCCTTTTTGACGAGATGAATATCCAAGAAAAGCATATTCAACAAATTGTGTTGTGAGTTTAGTACGTTCTTGTGAAGGAAGATAGACATAACATACACAACCGAAAACACGAAGAGTGGAGTAATCTGGTGGATTACTAAATACTCGACTGAAGGGAGATTCGTTATTTATTGATGTAGATGGTAAATTTTTTATAAGATGAGCTGCTATGGAGAGGGAATCACACCAGAATCGTGGTGGCACATAAGATTGAAGAAGAAGTGTGTGGACAACATCAAGCAAATGATGGTTTTTTCTTTCAGCTACTCCATTTTGTTGAGGAGTTGAAGGACGCGACCTTTGAGATATAATCCCATTAGATTGCAAGAATTATTGAAAAGATTTGATGGGTATTCTCCCCCATTGTTAGAGTGAAGTATTTTGATTTTGGCGTCTAAACATAAGCATAAAAAAATTTAAAAGTGGAAAAAACTTCATCTTTGGAGCGTAAAAAATAGACCCATGCAAAACGACGATAATCATCAATAAAAGTTATAAAATATTGGTAATTTGAATGAGATATAATCGGGGCTACTCTCCAAACATCACTATGGATAATATCAAAAGGTTGTGTTACATTCGATTGATGTGTTGAGAAAGGAAAAATTTTACTTTTGCCAAACTTACAAGGAATGCAATTTAAACAAATAGCATCGAGAGATGGAGTATACTTATTTCCAAGAAAACTAGATTTTAGCATGTCATGAAGTACACTGAAATTTAGATTTCCAAGATGCTTATGTCACACTTGATAATCAATGGTTGTAGAATTTCACAAAATAGAAGGTAAATAAAGACTTGAAAACAAATATAAATTGAGTGGAAATAACCGTCCAACTTTAGGCACCTTCGCAATTATCGTCCCCGAGTTTTAATCCTGCACAAGACAATTAAATTTTGAGAAATTTACTTGAAAATCATTGTCAACTAATTGACCAACTGAAATGAGATTACTGGTGAGATCTGGAGAAACAAAAACATTAGTTAGAGTTGAAGAAATATCACCGGTTGTTGTAATAGGTAATTTATTTCCATCAATAGTATGTATCTTGAGATTTCCAGAATATTTGGTGATATTATTAAGAAAATGGAGAATGCTGAAATGATCATTTGCTGAACCATTTCAGGGGTCAAAGTCTGGAAAGCGGTAGGCGCATTTTGTTGAACAGCAGTAGGTGCATTTTGCTAGACAACAGTAGGTGCATTTTGTTGGACAACAGTAGAAGAATCAACAGAGGTTGTGAAGGCCGGTGTGTTTTGCTTTGGTGGCCTAGTTGGACACTCTTTAATAATGTGTCCATTTTTTTTGTTGCAATAACTGCAAAATTTTCTTGGACAATTAGAGGCATAATGTCCATAACGCTTGCAACAAAAACATTAAATATTGCTCATATCATGGTTTCTTGACCTCCCTTGTGGAATGTATGTCACTATCATAGTAGATGATTTTTGTTCTTTAATGATAGATAGTGTAAGAAGGTGTTGTTCTTCACGTAATAGATTATTGAGACACTCATCCAATGAGGATGTTGGGTCTCTATGCATCAAATTGGAGGGGATACCTTCAAATTCGTATCTCAATTTCATGAGAAATTGATCTCGTTTAGTAGTGTTGTGAATTGTTTATACCGTACTTAAACCATCAATACTTAAATTTGAATAAACTATATCAGTGTATTCAGCCTAAAGATTCATGAATTGAGAATAAAAATCATATATAGAGAAACTATCTTGTTGTATATTTTCTTCAAGTAAGCCCACATTGTTGTCGTTGTCTTGTAAGGACGAAGATTCAAAACAATATTGAGATCAACCCATCCGATGATCCAGGATATGATTTGAGCGTCTTTGACTATCCACTTGGCATGTTCAACCTTATATTTGTCTTTGTTAAGGGCAGGGGTTGTGTCATCAACATGATCCCACAAATCATTTCCTTTGACATATAAAGAAAATTGAAATTCCCAAATTGAATAATTTTTTCAATTTAGGCGAACTATGAAAACATCATATTTTTCTTTTGACGTTGAATCGAATGACATTGAGAATACGAGATGAAAATCTGGATTGGAAAATGAATAACCAAAAGAAAGAAAAAAGATCAAGAAATTTGGACAAAGTAGAAAAATGCAAACTAGATTATGAATCGTGACATGCTCTGATGCCATCTCAAATTCAGAAATATCCTGATATTCTGAAAAACTATATCTCCTCTCTTGAAGAATTCTCATATAAATACACTTTAAATTACAAGTTTAAGGGCTGACTCAGCCTCATAAATTTGCAACTGCCATATATACACATTTATGCATTTTAAGATACTAATTAATAGTATTAATCTGTCCAATAAATCTGCTACAAATATACATTTATGCACTTCATTATACTAATGAATAGCAATTAGGATTGTTCAAATTAGCAAATATCAATTAGAAATCCAAATATTAAACATAGTGAAAGGTCTAAGTGTGGGTTGGTTGGTCTGGAATTGAATGATAAACTCGAAATTTGATCATGTTTATTGTGTGAATTTCCATTAAGGTGTTGAAATTTGAAATGATGATTATATATAATTGCCTTCATTATGATAGAACTAGGGAAATTGTTGCTTTGCATCATTACAAATTAAATATAGCACTCTGTGTTACTCCAAAAATACAAGTAAGATACATATGATCTACAGTATGTAGAACGTTTTTAGAGTTCATCCGGCATATTGGTTCTAGAAAAAGTTTTTGGCCGGGGTCCATTTATGGTACGGACAGTAGGTTTTGACTTCTCCTTGATCTTATTGATGAGCAAGAATAAAATTCGATAAACAACAATCATTCCAAACATGATAGCAAGATCAACCCACTTAGAATGATCCATTTGCACATGCCATGTATCAGTTAGTATATCCCTACCACTAACGGTTACGGTACCTCCATTTTGATGCCAAACGAACATTAAGCCTTCAAATTCATTCTTGAATGATCCTTGGAAAGCGTATGTAAGGAAGGAAATGTAGTAGCAAGGATACTTCCATAATGGGTTTGGAAGATCATCAGGAAGTCGATAGAATCCAGCTGTTAAAATTGCAAGTCCTTCAACTCCACCAGCAATGATCACACCCATCACAAAATTTGGGACGATACTCCCCACAACCATCATAAGGCTTTCAACCCACATCATAATGGCAAATAGGATAGACGCAAAGTATAGATATTGCTCTAGTCCTCTGTGTAGTCCAGAAAGGTAACACACTATTACTCCAGAAATGAGAGAGATCATTAGCATGTAAGGAATAGGAGATAATATGTTGCCGATGAGAAAAGCTGTAATGCCATAGTGCCCGTTCATTCTCTCTCGTTCAAACACCTATATGGTGGAAGGAAACTTTTTTAGCATCTGTTATCTGTACCCAAAGTTACAATCAAATATGAATATTGCATGTGCATCATAATAAATCGTCAATTAGTTGAAATAACAATCCTTTATTTACTCTCTTTACAATTCATTTACTGCAGATGAATCAAGTTCTTTTAGAATTTGGATACAATAGTCTACTGCTAGAGTTCACAACTGTGAAGCTTCAATTCCGGAAAGAAAAAAAAAGTTTTACCTTCATTTCCTCTATCAAGGGAGAGAATCCACCAACAAGTGTCATGAAAGTCAGGACTGACATAAAAAATGAAAGTAGCGATCCTCTGACCTGAAGCATGCCATGTACGGGGTTATAATTATGCTTCAAATTTATAAATCACAGGGAGTGTTGTGTATTGATTTTAGTAATTCGATTTAGTTAGAATCAGTTTTATTGTTGTTTAATAGTTTGCTTAAAATCTTATTACATCTCTTGATGTATAAATAGTTTCATATGCCTTATAAATAAATATTCATTTTAGTCATCTATGAAATAAACAAGTTTTATTCCTTTATCTCTTCTCTCTAAAATCTAAGATCTATGAAGCCCTAGAAACTCTTATCTCTTTCTGCAACTTTTACAAACAGTTTTGCTTAGTTTTTCTTCATTCTTTCATCGTTGTTCCATCAAATTAGTATAGCAGAGCCTGGTTCATTCATTGTTGTTAGAGAATTCGTGAAGAATGGCAACTCAAAACAATAATATTCCTGCGCATAAACCAGTGTTCGAAGGCAAAAATTTTGATCAATGGATCGTAAAGATGAAGGTGATCTTCAGGTTCCAGGATGTTCTTGAAGTTGTGAATGAAAGTATACCAACATTAGCAGTGAATGCAACTGAGGTACAACAAAAGGCACATAAAGAATTGAAGAAGAAAGATGGGAAAGTCATGTTCCTGATTCATCAGAGTGTAAGTAATGAGATCTTTGAGAAGATCATGCATTATGAAAGTGCAAAGGAGACATGAGATGCAATGAAGAAATTGTATTCTGGGGATGGCAAATTGAAGAAGGCGAGGCTTCAAGCATTAAGAAGACAATATGATGTGTTGACAATGAAAGAAGAAGAAACCATCCGTCAATACTTTGATAAGGTGATCAATCTCACAAATTAGATGACAAGGAATGGTGAAACTTTCACTGATGTGATGAAGGTTGAGAAAGTTCTCAGAACTTTAACACCAAGATTTGATCACATTGTGGTTGCTTTAGAGAAATCTAAGGATCTAGATTCTATGAAGATAGAAGAACTGCAAGCAAGTCTTGAAGCACATGATTTTAGGGTAATTAATAGAATCAAAGAAGATGCGAGAAGGGGAAGAAACCCTGGATTGTAGGCCCAATATGTGAAGAAAGGAAAATTCAATAAGGGGAAGAAACCCTGGATTGTAGGCCCAATATGTGAAGAAAGGAAAATTCAATAAGGGGAAGAAACCCTGCATTGATTATTCTAACAAAAATGGTGAAGGTTCTAGCAAGAATCAAGAAAGAAAGAAGAAAGAAGATGCAAATCATGATCAGAAGAAGAAGAAGAAGAAGAAGAAGAAGAAGAAGAAGGATAAGAAAGATATTCAGTGCTATAATTGTCAAAAGTGAGGACATTATGTATCTGAATGGAGATCAAAGAGGGTCCCAAGGAGAAAATATGAAGCTCAATTTGCTCAAAATGAGGATTCAGACTCTGATGAAGTACTCCTGATGGCAACAGTCAAGGATGAAGAAGAAATAAGGGATGAATGGTACTTGGACACTGGGTGTTCAAATCATATGACAGGCAAGAAAGCTTTGTTCTCTGAATTAGATGATTCAGTTAATAGAAAGATAAGATTTGCAGACAATAGCATAGTTTGTGCAGCTGACATTTTGATTCACAGGAATGATGGTAAGAAAGCATGCATCACTGATGTGTTGTATGTACCAAGTATGAAGAACAACCTCATCAATATTGGTCAACTACTGTAAAAAGGGTACACTATGAAGATGGAAGCACAAGCTATGAAGGTTTTTTATAGCAAGAATAGATTTATTATGAAAGTTTCACTATCAAAGAAAAGAACTTTCAGAATCAACATCAGTGTGATTGCAGATCAGTGCTTGCTATCAGAAGCTAAGAGTGAAAGCTGGTTATGGCATCAAAGATATGGGAAAATCAATTTTAGGGATTTGAATATGCTTCATGAGAAAAAATGGTGAAAGGTTTACCAAAGAAAAAGTTGCCTGATGAAGTGTGTGGAAGTGTGTGATATGCGTTGCACTGGAAAGCAACCCAAAAAATCATACAATGCAAAAGTACTATTCAATGCAACCAAGAAATCTGAGGTAATTCACTCTAATGTATGTGGACCATTTGAAGTGAAATCATTAGGAGGGAATAGCTACTTTGTAACATTCATAAATGAATTCACTAGAAAATTATGGATTTACTTGTTAGCTAAGAAAAGTGGAGTGTTTGGTGTGTTTAAGAAGTTTAGACTGTTAGTTCAAAATGAAAGTGGTGAAGTGATTAGAAGATTAAGAACTGATGGAAGAGGTGAGTATACTTCCACTGAGTTTAATAATTTTTGTTCATCAAATGGCATAAATCATGAAGTCACTGCACCATACACACCTCAACACAATGGGATCTCAGAGAGGAAGAACTTAACTTTGCTAAACATGATAAGCATGTTGAAGCATAAGAAGATGCCTCATTACTTGTGGGGTGAAGCAGCTGCTACTGCAGCATATCTCATCAATAGAAGTCCCACAAAGAAGCTGCAAGACAAGACACCAGAAGAAACATAGTGTGGAGTAAAACCAAGTGTTCAACATCTGAAGATTTTTGGCTCATTCTGTTTCAGACATGTACTTGATCAACTGAGAAGAAAATTGGATGATAAATCTCAGATAATGACTATGGTTGGTTATCACTCAACTGGTGCCTACAAATTATATGATTCAAATAGTAAGAAAATAATGTTCAGCAAAGATGTAAAGTGTGATGAATCAAAAGGTTGGAACTGGAAAGACAAGGCAACAAATAAGCTTGACAGTCACTTCTATCTATCTGATTCAGAGACAGAAGAAGTTGAGACTGAGGAACAAGAAGAAATAATTGAGGATACAAATGAAGGAGGTACATGAGTCACTAATAGGCCAACAAGGAGCACTCAACCACCAGCCAGGCTGAGAGATTATGAGAGGTTCCCTGATCAAGCAGTCACAGATGAAGGTGACATAGTGCAACTAGTAATGCTTGCTGAAACTGAACCAGTGTCTTTTGAGGAAGCTCTTAAACAAAAACACTGGAAGAAAGCAATGATTGAAGAACTAGACTATATAGAGAAGAATAAAACATGGAGATTAGTTCAATTACCTACTGATAAGAAGTGCATTAATGTTAAGTGGGTATTCAAAACAAAACTAAATCCAAATGGTCAAGTGTAAAAGTATAAGGCTAGATTAGTTGCAAGAGGCTTCCTACAGAAGTATGGACAAGATCGCTATGAAGTTTATGCTCTAGTAGCAAGGGTTGAAACAATCAGATTGATTGTTTCTATAGCACTCAAGAACAACTGGTCTATGTACCAGTTAGATGTAAAATCTACATTTCTCAATGATGAGTTAGAAGAAGAAGTGTATGTGAATCAACCACCAGGATTTGAGATAAAGAGGAAGGAAGAGTATGTATACAAGCTTGATAAAGCTCTGTATGACTTAAAGCAAGCCCCAGGAGCTTGGGAAATAGGAAGATAGACAACTTTCTTGTTTAGCAAGGTTTCATGAAGTGTGTAAACGAACGTGGAATTTACTGCAGAAACACCACTAATAAGCTCATTGTGTGCTTATATGTGGATGATATGCTAGTTACTGGAAGCAATGAAGCTGAGATGAAGGACTTTAAGAGAAATATGATGAAGATGTTTGAGATGTCTGATTTAGGCAATCTCACATATTTTCTGGGAATTGAGTTTGAAATGAATCCATAAGGAGTTGTGATTCATCAAAGGAAATATGCACAAGATGTTTTGAAGAGGTTTAGTATGCTGAATTGCAAACCAATCTCAATTCCTGTTGATATAAGAGTGAAATTATCCTTGGTAAATGATGAGAAAGAAATGAATTCAATCCTATTCAAACAAATTGTGGGCTCTTTGAGGTATTTATGCCATACAAGACTTGATATTGCTTATGGTGTAGGTTTGATCAGCAGATACATGGTAAAACCTACCACCTCACATTTAGTTGCAGCTAAGAGAATCCTGAGATATGTGAAGGGTACAAGCAGCTATGACATTCAATACTGTAAGGATCAAAATGGTGATCTAGTAGGCTATTCAGACTCTGATTGGAGTGGTGATGAAGATGACAGGAAAAGCACTGCAGCTTATGTGTTCATGATTGGAAATGCAGCCTTTTCATGGAGTTCTAAGAAGGAATCAGTGGTTGCATTATCTTCTTGTGAGACTGAGTACATTGCAACTTCCATGACAACATGTCAAGCTCAATGGATCAACATGCTACTGATGGAATTGAAACTGATAAAGAATCAAAAGATGGAGCTCAGAATTGATAGCAAGTCAGCTATAGACTTGGCAAAGTATCCAGTAGCACATGATAGGAGTAAACACATTGAAACCAAATTCTATTTCTTAAGAGATCAGGTGAACAAAGGAAAGTTGGAAGTGCAAAATTGCAAGACAGGTGAGCAGATAGCAGATTTGCTTACAAAGCCTTTGAAGTCAAGCAGCTTTGATTACTTGAAGATGAAGCTTGGAATTGCTAAAGCATCTAACTAAATGAATCAAGGAGGTGTATTGGTTTTAGTAATTCAATTTAGTTAGAATCAGTTTTACTGTTGTTTAATAGTTTGTTTAGAATCTTGTTACATCTCTTGATGTATAAATAACTTCATAGGCCTTGTAAATAAATATTCATTTTAGTCATCTATGAAATAAACAAATTTTATTCCTTTATCTCTTCTCTCTAAAATCTAAGATCTACGAAGCCCTAGAAACTCTTATCTCTTTGTGCAACTTATCCAAACAGTTTTACTTAGTTTTTCTTCATTCTTTCATCATTGTTCCATCACTGTGCTGGTAATATATATTCTCTAACATCTTTTAACACGCTATTTTTACAGACATTTTTACAGACAGTATTTTTACAGGTTAACATTGATGATTATTTACATTATATAATTAATAGTTATTTCTCTTTTAAATTTAAAGCATATATAATTAAATTTACCTGAATAGATCGACTACTTGAGCCGACGTGATGGAAGATAGAGCCTAGGCTTATAGCTATTGCAATAAAGACAACAAGACGTAACCAGTAGTTGCTGATGTCACGATACAGTTGCAGGGAAGATCTTTTTATAAGAACAATGCACTGAGTCAGAAATGGAGCGTGAGTCCTCTTATTCCTTATTGCACCCAAATCCTAGTACGTACAATTTCATGAAGCAAAACGTTAAATGATATAGTTTACGTGTGATTTATGGTGGATCACCTTGGTATGTGATTACGATGGATCAATACTTACGCATTCACTAATTTTTGTCACTTCAAGCTGAACTTGACTTTTCATTTCAGAAGCCTTATAAGCTTTTACAAGGATACCAATTGCTTCTTCAGTAATAACTCCCTTACCAAAGCCTTCTTCAATGTCCTGAAAACCACGTAGATTAGTTCACTATTTTTCAAGTTTTCAATTGTTTTGTGCCTTCTAATGCAGAGGATTTTGTATATATATATAACTGGAAAATCTATTTTATTATATATGAGTTAATACTAATCACTAATTAGACCCAGGGTTTGCATAAATACCTGTTCGAAATCTTTGTTTATGACCCGTAAGTAGTGATCAGAAGGATTATAGAGAGTTGGGCAAGGAAAACCATTTGAAGCAAAAAACTGCAGTGAATTAAGTGTCACTATAAATTAATATGTGCTAACTATGTTATGTATGTTGTCAACTTGTTCCTAACCTGATTTGCTTCAGAAGCTTTACCAAAATATACTGTCTCCCCAGAGGAAAGAAGACAGAGGTCATGGAACAGTTCAAAAACTTCACTACAAGGCTGATGGATGGATGCAACAATTGTCCTTTGAATACCATCCCTTAGACTTAAACTTGCAATTCTACTCATAACATAATAGGAAGCAGCACTATCAAGTCCACTAGTTGGTTCATCAAGAAAAAGAAGTCTAGGGCGTGTTAGCATCTCAATGCAAATGCTTAGTCTCCTCTTTTGCCCTCCACTAAGGCCCTTAGAACCATACCCTCCAACCCTTGTGTTAATAGCATCTTGCAGGCCCATTTCTCTGAGTGTGATATCTGCTTGTCTCTTCTTCTCTGCTATTGACATTGAGTTTGGAAATTGAAGTTGAGCTGAGTAGTATAAAGTTTCGCTAGCTGTTAAAGTTGCCGGCATAGCATCATCTTGTGTTACATAGCCCTGAATTTACATGGTGCATGGTGTCAAAAAGGTTAGTAACAATAACTAATCTATCTTCTTTCTAAAACAATTATTATTCTCTACCAAAAGATTGTTGCTTTTTTTAAGTACTTGGAGTAGTTTTCAGGAATTTTGTCTTACTGATGTTCCATAAGCCAGTGTTTGTTTTTTGCCGTTGATTAGAATCTTCCCTGATTGATGTATGTTTGATTTCAATCTTCCTGCAACATTGGTAGAATCAAATTATAATTGTTGAATAACTAGCTTCTAATTACAGCAAACTAAAAATAACATGCAACTCTGAATTATGCTATGCTTCAGAGAAGAATAATATGATATGAGACTCCTACGCATTGGTCACACATGCATGTAAATTGCACTAGATTCGTATAGTACTACGGATCTAATCACCTGCTAATGCGTCAAGGAGTGTTGATTTGCCACTGCCTGAAGGACCCATCACAGCCAGAAGCTTCCCTGGCTGGGCATAACCTGTAAGTCCCTGCAGAATTAGTTTTCTATTCTTTCCATTTGTAACAATGGCCTCCAAATTCTCCCATGTCACAGTAATGCTATTGCCACCCTTTTCTCCTTCATTACCACCCATGTCAACTTCGATAACATGTGCACATCTTGCACCAATTACAAGTGTTATTTATGGATAAATTTCTGGTCAGAAGATAAATGCATGATGCTATTATTAATTGTGCACGACAGCACAGAAAAAACAAATTATTTTTTTCTGCACAAAGTTTTTCAACTCTTAAGATAAATGCACCATGCTACTATTTATTGTGCACGATACAACAGATGGGTACTCATACGTTGATGTCCACCGCCCTTAATTTTTTAGACTAAATTAGAACCAGCAATGCCAACTTCAATCAATAAGCAGGTTATTGACATCCAACATATAGCATTCTAGGAAAGTAGATTCTACTTTACTCCACCAATTAATTACTGCTAACTGAACTTTTCATGGCTTTCATTTATCATTTATGATTAAATAAATTGGGAGGTGAATTGAAAATTTTCCGACTACCCTGTACTTTCCCTATCTGAGATTGTGCATTCATGCAATTCATTTTCACCATAAACTGCTGACAGATACTCTACAGAACACAGTATTCATTCATGCAATTGATTTTCACCTTACCAGTTACGCAGTTTCGGTCAGGTAACAAAAAATCATAATTATTTTTTTTAAGTTATATCTCAAAAATGATTTTTATGACAATCTATTTAAAATAACTTCAAAGATTTTTTAAAATTTTGATATCCAAAAAAAATTTAATAAGAAGAATAATTATTTAAAATCAAATTTTTATTTAAAAATTTTATAAAAAAATTTTATGTAAATTTTTTTTACATAAAATTTTATAACAATATAAAAATCATTAAAAAAAAAACAAAACAAAAGGGGAATATTAACCTCTCTTAATTATTTCCTGTTTCCTCCATTTCTGTATTCCAACTCATTATCTATATTTAGAAATACATTTTGTCAACAAAAACAGCCTTAGAAAATTATAATACCACCAGAATTAAGGACATCATTTTGGATCAGACAAATTAGTTCAGTGTCATTGTAGTGACCCAGTGCAAATGTATACGTTTTGTTGTGACATCTAACTTTAGTTAACAAAGATTTGGTGTAGAAAGTAATTAGAAACATTTAGTTTTGTTAAAAAAAATTAAAGGATTTCAAATAAAAAAGAATTATTTATTTATTTATTTAGAATCATACGACTATCTCTCTCTTTTTTCTCATCTAAACCAAATTACAAATTATATTCTCAAGCTGTAAATATAAACAAATGTAGAAAGATTTTTTTTAGTGAAATATTAAATAAATTAATCAATCTAATTTTATAGAACAAAATTAGCAACTTATCTGTAATGTTTGAAGTGAATTTTATATATTTTAGTTTAAAATGTATGGAGTTGTTCATTATATTTCAAAACTTACGAAGGTTTGAAAATGTTCGTGCACAAAGTTTAAAAGGATATTTCTAAAATATAGATTAATATTCAAAATATATTTTTAAAATATAGATTAAATTTAACATCATCCCTTAATTTATATTTTATTCAAAACTAACAACACAAATTTCATCTCTCAAGCGAAGAAATTGATCAGTCTTGATAGCTTTTATTAGAATATTTGTCAGCTGTTTCTAGGTGCTACAGTGCACAACTTTCAATATTTCATTCTTAACCTGATTTCTCATAAAGTGATATTTGATCTCAATATGCTTGCTTCTCCAATGCAGCACTGGGTTTTTGGCAAGATTGATTACAGACTTGTTATCAATCATCAGCTTCAGATGTTTATTTACCTCAATATTCAAATCTTTTAGCAAGTTCAGAATCCACACAACTTGGCATGCAGTCAAAGCGTCTGCAATATATTCAGCTTCACAGGTTGACAATGTAACAACAGGTTGCTTCTTGGAACACCAAGAAATAGAACCTCTCAAAAATTTGAATAAGTACTCAGAAGTACTTCTTTTGTCAACTCTATCTCCACACCAATCAGAGTATGAATAACTCAGAAGTTCTGATTCGATCTTTCTTTCAGACGGAAATAACACTCCATACTTCAGAGTTCCCTTCACATACATCAGAATCCTAACAGTAGCTTGGTAACGAGACCACTTTGGTTTACTCATAAATCTTCTAACCATTCCAACTGCATAACAAATATCAGTTCTGGTATTACACAAATACCTTAGAGAGCCAATCAGCTGTTTGAAGGTTGTAGCATTTACATCCTCTCCATCAGAATCAGAGTCCAACTTCTGATTCGTATCAACAGGTGTGATAGAAACTTTTCAATTTTCTAGCTTAAATCTCTTCAGAAGCTCAAGTTCATACTTCATCTGATGCAAAATGATTCCTTTCTTAGAATACATAAACGTCATCCCTAAAAAGAAACTCATTTTCCCAAGATCTGTCATCTCAAACGCATTCATCAGAACTTTCTTGAACTCATCTATTTCTTGTTCAGAACTTTCTGTTAGTAATATGTCATTAACAGAAAAATATACCAGAATCATATTACCTTCTGAAGTATGCTGAACATAAACACCATAATCCATCTCACACTTCTGAAACCCTTGTTCCTTGAAAAACGAATCAATCTTCAAATTCCAAGCTCTGGGTGCTTGCTTCAATCTATACAAGGCTTTATGTAATTTGAGCACCATCCCTTCCTGATTCTTTTTCTCAAATCCAGGAGGTTGTGATACGTATATCTCTTCTTGTAATGGACTGTGATACAGTGGGAGAACTGACTTGAGTGTTTTTGCATTTTATCGCAAGTGTTGCGGTTAGCAAGAGTCGCCACCGACTTTTCTTTTATCCAAAAAGGAAAGGTGAAAAAGCACAGGAAAGACCTTTAGAGATGTTTTTTGAGTTCAGGGGGTAGATTATGAAAAGGAAAGGTATTAGCACCCTTTTCATCCATGGTTTTTCATGGGCTCTTAGTTACTTGCTAGATCACTTGCTTTTGTTTGAAATTGTGCTTTGTGTGTGGTTTTTGAAAGTATTTTTGAAAATGGAACTTCGTAATGGTTCTCGTTTCTATAAGAACGCCTACAAAGTGTTTGTTTCGAAAATAGTTCAAAGGTGTGTTTGTGAGATGTGTTTTTTGAAATTATTTTGAAAATGGAACTTCGTAATGGTTCTCGTTTCTATAAGAATGCCTACAAAGTGTTTGTTTCGAAAATAGTTCAAAGATGAGAGTGTGGGTGTATAAAAATGTTTTTGTTATGAGCAAGCGAATAACTAGGAGCGAATCTACCTACTTGAAAGGTCTTAAATGTGTTTTTCCTCCTCCTTTAGATGTGGCTATCTTACCATTGATTTGGTAAGAAGCCCCATCGTTGGATGTGAAGGGACGGGCATTGGGACGTTTGTATAGTCATAGAAGGCAACATATGAGACGTTTTAGCAATGTCGTTTTAGGTACTAGATCGTTTACCGAAGGCAACATCGAGGGTCATCGAGGGACTACGATCTTTTATCGAGGGTCTTTGCTAAAACGCCCATGTTCGAGGGACATGACTATTTTCTGATATGCAACAAGTGGAATTACCCTAAGGGTGTAAGTGTTCAAATGTGTTTTATTTACATGCATTTAGTCTTGATTATGGGTTGTCTACTTGTTGTTTTTATCTTGCCATACACACCTAATTACTAGCATTTGTACAAAAGTAATAAAAAGTGCAAAAAATAAATCCTACACTATTACAACCATATTGAAAGGCAAGAAAATGTAAAGGCAAAACCAAAATAAAAGAAAGGAAAATGAGCTCTTCGACCCAGGCAGTAGCACCCTTCGACTTGCATTCTATTGGCCTCCTTTGATTGGGGCTAGCACCAGTGAGGTCCTGTCCTTCGATTGGCCTGGAAGTCAGTGTATGGCGAAGCCTTCTTGTTCTGCCTTGTTGTCTTCTTCGACTGGAGGTTGAAAGCAGTGAGGGAATGCCTTTCGACTGAGCCTGGAAGTCAGTGTATGGCGAAGCCTTCTGGTTCTGCCTTATTGTCTTCTTTGATTGGAGGTTGAAAGCAGTGAGGAAATGCCTTTCGACTGAGCCTGGAAGTCAACATGGTTTTCCTCCTGGTTGTCTCTTTCGTTTGACCTGGAGAAAGAGGGTAGAAGCCATAAGCTTTGTTTCCTATTTCATGTTTCATGTTTCTTTCATTTCAAGCATTAAATGGAAACATGGCCTGAGGCCATGCTAGTAGTTATCTTGTAAACAGTTTAATAGTTAAAGCAAGTTCAGGTAAACAGAAAGCGAAACGAAAGGGTTAACTCTAAAAAAAACATGTTAAAAGGGTGGAAACAAAGGGAACAATGGTATATACATGCTTGAAATGAACGAAAATATTATTTACATGTTATGCCATGAAATGAAAGGTTCAAGGGTAAGAGTGACTTACCTTGATGGAGGCTTTGAATGGGTGTGGGACCTTGAGTGGAGGCCCAGGATGCTGGATTCGAAAGAGGGGGTCAATAGATGTTCTTGGAATGCTGGATTCGAAGGGAGGAAAGAAACAAGTCTTATGTTTATTTACAAACTGGATTCGAAGGATACTGAAGAGTACTTGTTCTTCAGAATTGAAGGAAGTAAGTATGTGATTTTGGGCTTTTTGTGATTTCTCAAGTGTTGATGAACTTGAGAGTTTTGAGAAAATTTGGGGGATTCATTCCTCTGGTCCAAAGATCCTCCTCTAGCTTTGTAAATGTTCCTCTATTTATAGAGAAAGAATGGACATGTTGTCCAAAGCCAGCCTTGTAAAGAAATGATAAAATAATGTAACGTGAAAGTACATGTGGGGGCCTCTTGGCAGTTGGGGTGCAGAAGATGTGACTTATGCCTCTGGCCTTGCTTGTGCTCAGACGAAATTCAGGTGGAAAGATATTTTTGTGATAAAAGTACTTTCTATGAAAAGAAAGGGTATGTAGCCTTTAACCAAGGATAGTATTATCCAAAAGACAGTTTAAAACCCTTGTACAAGCCTCTGATTATGTAAAGATTTTGAAGCAACATAGCCTGGCAAATGAGATTTGGTCTTGAATAGAATGCAAGAATGAGATCG